CTAGTCTATAGTCTAGTCTATAGTCTAGTCTATAGTCTAGTCTATAGTCTAGTCTATAGTCTAGTCTATAGTCTAGTCTATAGTCTAGTCTATAGTCTAGTCTATATATAGTCTATAGTCTAGTCTATAGTCTAGTCTATAGTCTAGTCTATAGTCTAGTCTATAGTCTAGTCTAGTCTAGTCTATAGTCTAGTCTATAGTCTAGTCTATAGTCTAGTCTATAGTCTAGTCTATAGTCTAGTCTATAGTCTAGTCTATGGTCTAGTCTATAGTCTAGTCTATAGTCTAGTCTATAGTCTAGTCTATAGTCTAGTCTATAGTCTAGTCTATAGTCTAGTCTATTCTATAGTCTATTCTATAGTCTAGTCTATAGTCTAGTCTATAGTCTAGTCTATAGTCTAGTCTATAGTCTAGTCTATATTCTAGTCTATAGTCTAGTCAAGTCTATAGTCTAGTCTATAGTCAAGTCTATAGTCTAGTCTATAGTCTAGTCTATAGTCTAGTCTATAGTCTAGTCTATAGTCTAGTCTATAGTCTAGTCTATAGTCAAGTCTATAGTCTAGTCTATACTCTAGTCTATAGTCTAGTGTATAGTCTAGTTTGTAGTCTAGTTTATAGTCTAGTCTATAGTCTAGTCTATAGTCTAGTTTATAGTCTAGTCTATAGTCTAGTCTATAGTATAGTCTATAGTCTAGTCTATATTCTAGTCTATAGTCTAGTCTAGTTTATATTCTAGTCTATAGTCTAGTCTATAGTCTAGTCTATAGTCTAGTCTATAGTCTAGTCTATAGTCTATTCTATAGTCTAGTCTATAGTCTAGTCTATAGTCTAGTAGTCTATAGTCTAGTCTATAGTCTAGTCTATAATCTAGTCTATAGTCTAGTCTATAGTCTAGTCTATAGTCTAGTCTATAGTCTAGTCTATAGTCTAGTCTATAGTCTAGTCTATAGTCTAGTCTATAGTCTAGTCTATAGTCTAGTCTATAGTCTAGTCTATAGTCTAGTCTATATTCTAGTCTATAGTCTAGTCTAGTCTATAGTCTAGTCTAGTCTATATTCTAGTCTATAGTCTAGTCTATAGTCTAGGCTATAGTTTAGTCTATAATCTAGTCTATAGTCTAGTCTATAGTCTAGTCTATAGTCTAGTCTATAGTCTAGTCTATAGTCTAGTCTATAGTATAGTCTATAGTCTAGTCTATAGTCTAGTCTATAGTATATAGTCTAACCGCTACAAGTGTTTCCTAAATCATCTGGTAACCTTTTTAATGTTTGATTGAAGGAATTATCCTGTTTTTGTACTCTTGTTTTTATGCTCTTTAACTCTGGTTTTATCACTCTTGATGTTATGAGTGTTTTTTTTCCATTCATTCATTAGCCAGAAAGTTGTACGTTTTAAGAAGGAAGAAAACCAAAGCATACAAAGTAAAACATGAGCCAAAAAAGCTGCTAAGGATGGCAATGCAACTTTACAGCAAACAAATGGGGTGGATTTTAAGGTTTAAGGAAGATATGAAAAAACGAGGGATAAAAATTGAAAAAAGCAAAACAAAAAGGATTTGAACAAAACAAAAAACTATATAGAGAAAAAAGCAAACAACAACAATGCGAGAAATGCAAAAAGAAAAAAACTCTATTAAAATTACAGAACTCTAAAAAAAGGAAGTCGAGAAATGAAGAGTATAAAACGAACAAAAAATCTTAAAAATTACAACGAAAGGAAGCATTTTTAAAGGAAAAAATAAAGAATTTTAAAAATTAAAGTGTAAATAATTAAATAAATAAAGAAAAATTAAAGAAAAAAGTTTAATAAAGTTTAATTGTTAACAGGAAATAAGTAAAAACCAAAAAGTTCAAAGAACCTATAAATTGAAACAGAAAAAAATGAAAATTTCCTGTAATTCCTAAAGTGTGTGAAAATATTTTAAGAATGAAAAAAGCCAAGTGTTTAAATATTTAAACAAAATAAAAGAATTTAAAAAAGTTATAGGAAAGCTAAAGTTGTTAATTAGAAAAAAAATTTCTTCAAATTTTTGAAAATTTTTAGAAAAAATCTTTTAATTTTATTAAAACTTGAAAAAAAATCTTAAAAATAGTTTCCACAATCCACATTTTCTTTTTTTTTTTTTTTCAAAGTAAATACAACATATTTTGACATTTTTCTTTAAGCTGTCAGAGACTCCTAAAAGAGCGCATGTCATAAAACTGTCATATACTAAATTTTACACATATTTTTTTGTTGTTGTATAGTAAAATAACAATAATAACAACAACCATAAAGCAAGTGCAATTTTGTACACAAAAACAGGAATTTCTAAATTTTTTTTGGTCGCTTTTTCAACTTCCGCTTGTTTGAACTTTAGTAGTAGAAATTTTCTACTAAAAAGAGATGACAGAAGCATTAAAGTGTAAAATTAGGCCTGAGAAAAGTTAAATTTTGTTTAAAATTAAATGTTTTGTCAATTTAGCACTTTTTTTAAAAAAGTAGTAGAAATACTACCTTTTTTAAATATGAAATTTTAGCCGAAAATCTTCATTAAATGCATTTAAGCTTTATAAAAGTAATTTTTAGCGACATTTTGCACTTTTTAAAAATAGTAGTAGAAATACTACCTTTTTTAAATATGAAGTTTTTACCAAAATTATTGCTTAAATGCAATAAAACGCAATGATAAAGAATTTTTAACTAATTTTTACACTTTTCAAAAATAGTAGTAGAAATACTACTGTTTTCAAATGTGAAATTTTTAGCAAAACTCTTGGTTAAATTATTTAAAACTTTATAAAATATCATTTTTAACGAATTTTTGCACTTTTCAAAAATAGTAGTAGAAATGCTACCTTTTTTAAATATGAAATTTTGGCCGAAAATCTATATTAAATGATTTAAAACTTCATAAAAGTTATCTTAAATTCTGCACTTTTTTAAAAAAAAGTAGTAGAATTACTACTATTTTTAAAGATAAACTTTTTAGCAAAAATCTTATTTAAATGATTTAAAACTTCATAAAATGCATTTAAAATTAAATTGTAAACATTTTTAAAAATAGTAGTAGAAATACTACTTTTTTCAAAAATTAAAATTGTACCAAAAATCTTCGTAAAATAAAGTACATTTTCATGGAAAAACCTTTTGGACGAAATTTTGCGCTTTTAAAAATAGTAGTAGAAATACTACTTTTCAAATCATTAAATTTTTAAGGGAAAATCTTATTCTACCGCGATAAATATTATTTCAGAAGCCATAGGAGTGATGTTTTAAGCTATTTGAAGCGTTAAAACACGTCAACAAAATAGTAGTAGAAATACTACTATTTCCAAAAACTATTTTTTTTTACCTAAAATCACTACTAAACAAGCTTAATAATCATAAAATTCAACAGTTTTAGAATTTTAAACTTTAAAAAAAAGTAGTAGAAATACTACTTTTTTAAAATGCCATATTTGATAACAGCATAAAGAATCTCTATTAAACTTCAAGTTCATTAAGTGATTTAAATTTTCATGAAAATCCATTTTGCTGAAATTATGCATCTTTTTTAAAAAAAAAGTAGTAGAAAAAGTACTATTTGAAAACTATTATTTCTTATGAAAAACCTAATTCTATCGGAAATAGTTTATTTCAGAAGCATAACAATTAATTCTGTAAGCTATTTTTCCCTTAAACCTCTTAAACAAAATAGTAGTAGAAATACTACTATTTCAAAAAACTAGTTTTTTAACCTAAAATCACTACTAAACAAGCTTAATGTCATGAAATTTAAAATTTTTGAAATTTTGTAAAGTTTTGTAAGTTTTTAAAAAAGTAGTAGAAATACTACTTTTTAAAAGATGGCTTTAGTTATAAAAAATACTTTTATTTACCTAATACCTTAAAATTACGCAAAAATCAATTTCTAAGAGAGATAGTTAAACCTTTTTATAGTTTTTTTACCAGATTTAGTTAATAAACAGTTTTTTTTAAATAGTAGTATTCCTACTACCTTTTTAAAAATAGTAATATATCTACTACTGTTTTTAAAAATGCACAAAATGTATCAAAATCATGTCTTTTAACAATATGGGTATAGATTTTGTTAGAAAAATAAAATTTTTAAAAAATTTAGAGACATTTTAAGAAAGTAGTAGAAATACTACTATTTTAAAAAAAGTTTAAAATAGGCTATAAAAAGGCTATTCAATGAAAATTATGACTTTCAAACAATATTTAACGGAGTTTTGGGGTATAAGTTGCATTTTAAAAATAGTAGTATTTCTACTACCTTTTTTAAAAAGTGCTAATTATACCAAATTAATGTTTCTAAGCAATATGGAGATAGGAAAATCAGATTTTTAGGAAATTTAGAGACTTTTTAAAAAAGTAGTAGAATCACTACTATTTGAAAAATGTTAAAAAAGTACTAAAAATGCTTTTTAATGCAAATTGTTTATTTTAAATTATATTTAATCAATTTTTGGTATAAAAATTTGATTTTTAAAATAGTAGTATTTCTACTACTATTTTAAAAAAGTGTTTTTTTATACAAAACTTGAGGATTTTTATCATATTAAACTAGTTTTTAAGCAAAAATTTAATATTAAAAATAGTAGTATTTCTACTACTTTTTTTGTAAAAGCTAATATTTTCAGGTTTTTTTTGAAGTTTAGGGCTTTTTAAAAGAAAATTGTTTATTTTTTGTAATTTTCTTTAACACTTTGAGTTTGACACTTGTTATACAGCGCAGGTCTTTAAACTTTTGGTTTACAAATGTTAAAAACAGCATTGCCAGCTTTAAAAGCTTTCTTATAACTTTTTTTCTTCTTACTTTTTTTAGTGGACAAAATTCCACTAATGAATAAAAATTCTTGACACCATTTACAGCAACAACAAAAAAATTATACAGACGTCAAGGAAAAATTTGTTAAAAAAAATATAGAAAAACCAAACAAATTACAAAAAAAAAAATCTTAAAAAATCTAGAAATTAAAATAAAAGTGTTAAAATGTGTTTTGTGGCCATAAAGATAAGAATATTATTAAGAAATTTAGGAAATTTATGAAATTTCCTTTTTCTAAAACAACATGAAATATAAGAAAAAGTTCCATAAACCTTGACCAACACGAAACTTTAAGAAACCTTTATAATATTTATGAAAAAACAAAACTTCTCATTCAATGCAATTGTTAAAGTAATCAAAACTAAAGCATAGACACCAACACAAACATGTGTTTTTAAAGCAATAAAAAAGTGTTGGTGGGAATGCCGCAGCAGAGGGGCGAAAGTAAATGATTTTTATTAAAATAATTTAAAAAAAATATTCTTCACAAAAACAACGAAACTCTTTATGAATGGATAACTATAGGAAAAAGGTGGGTAATTGAAAGTTATTAAAAGTATAGTCTAACTTAAGGCTTTTAAACCCTTAAACAAATACAAATGTCACCATAATTATCTATTGATTAACCCGTAATTATTTAACTTGAAAAATATATTTCAAATTCTTTAAAAAATTATTTTACTCTTTCCTTTCTTTTCATACAATCAATAAATTTTATTTTATTTGTATTTTTCATTTCTATGAAAGTGTATGTGTGTGTGCTGAGTTTTTTTCTGTGTTAAAGTTGAATGACTTTGCCCTGAACTTACAGCAATCTATCATTCAAAAAGGAACAAAATAAAACACTTAATGCTTTTACAAAAGGCAGCAATAATAACAACAACAATACTTGACAATAGTTTAAGGAAATTGTTTTTCTGAGAACACAGAAAAAAAGGACTTAAGAAAAAAGGACAATAACACGCTTAATTCACACATTTAAATCATAAAATTGAGAAGAAATTTATAAGAAAAACAGAAAATAAAAAAAAAAATTTAAAGACTAGACTACAAACAAGGCTATTAACTGGACCGTAGAATAATCTATAGTCCAGACTATAGATCAATCTATAGTCCAAACTATAGTCTATAGTCAATACTCCAGACTATATACTATAGTCCAGACGCTAGAATAATCTATAGTCCAGACTATAGATCTATCCACGGTCCAAATTATAGACTAATCTATAGTCCAGACTATAGACTAAACTATAGTCCGGACTATGGACTAATCTATAGTCCAGACTATAGAATAAACTCTAGTCCAGACTATGGACGAATCTATAGACCAGACAATAGAATAATCTCCAGTCCAGACTATAGACGAATCTATAGTCCAGACCATATATTAATCTAGAGTCCACACTATACACTAACCTATAGTCCAGACTATAGACTAATCTATAGTTCAGACGATGAACTAATTCACAGTCCAGACTATAGTCTAATCTATAGTCCAGACTACAAACTAATTCATAATCCAGACAATAGACTAATCAATAGTCCATACTATAGACTCATCTATAGTCCAGGCTATAGACCAATCTATCGTCCAGACTATACACTAATCTATAGTCCAGACAATGAACTAATCTATAGTCCAGACTATAGACTAATCAATAGTCCAGGCAATAGAATAATATATAGTTCAGACTACAGACTAATCTATAGTCCAGACTATAGACTAATCTATAGTCTAGGCTGCAGACTAATCTATAGTCCAGGCTAATTTATAGTCCAGACCATAGATTAATCTATAGTCCAGACCAATCTATAGTCCAGACTATAAACTTTTCTGTAGTCTGCTCTACCAATTTCAGTCTATAGTCTAGTCTATGGTCTAGGCTATGGTCTAGTCTATGGTCTAGTCTATAGTCTAGCCTATAGCCTAGTCTATAGTCTAGTCTATAGTCTAGTCTGTAGTCTAGCCTAAAGTCTAGTCTATTGTCTAGTTTATAGTCTAGTCTATAGTCTAGTCTATAGTCTAGTCTATAGTCTAGTCTATAGTCTAGTCTATAGTCTAGTCTATAGTCTAGTCTAGTCCTATAGTCTAGTCTATAGTCTAGTCTATAGTCTAGTCTATAGTGTAGTCTATAGTCTAGTCTATAGTCCTAGTCTATAGTCTAGTCTATAGTCTAGTCTATAGTCTAGTCTATAGTCTAGTCTATAGTCTAGTCTATAGTCTAGTCTATAGTCCTAGTCTATAGCCTAGGCTATAGGCTATAGTCTAGTCTATAGTCTAGTCTATAGTCTAATCTATAGTCTAGTCTATAGTCTAGTCTATAGTCTAGTCTATAGTCTAGTCTATAGTCTAGTCTATAGTCTAGTCTATAGTCTAGTCTAGTCTATAGTCTAGTCTAGTCTAGTCTAGTCTTATATAGTCTAGTCTATAGTCTAGTAGACTAGTCTAGTCTATAGTCTAGTCTAGACATATAGTCTATAGTCTAGTCTATAGTCTAGTCTATAGTCTAGTCTATAGTCTAGTCTATAGTCTAGTCTATAGTCTAGTCTATAGTCTAGTCTATAGTCTAGTCTATAGTCTAGTCTATAGTCTAGTCTATAGTCTAGTCTATAGTCTAGTCTATAGTATAGTCTATAGTCTAGTCTATAGTCTAGTCTATAGTCTACTCTATAGTCTAGTCTATAGTCTAGTCTATAGTCTACTCTATAGTCTAGTCTATAGTCTAGTCTATAGTCTAGTCTATAGTCTAGTCTATAGTCTAGTCTATAGTCTAGTCTATAGTCTAGTCTATAGTCTAGTCTATATTCTAGTCTATAGTCTAGTCTATAGTCTAGTCTATAGTCTAGTCTATATTCTAGTCTATATTCTAGTCTATAGTCTAGTCTATAGTCTAGTCTATAGTCTAGTCTATAGTCTAGTCGTCTAGTCTATATTCTAGTCTATAGTCTAGTCTATAGTCTAGTCTATAGTCTAGTCTATAGTCTAGTCTATAGTCTAGTCTATAGTCTAGTCTATAGTCTAGTCTATAGTCTAGTCTATAGTCTAGTCTATAGTCTAGTCTAGTCTATAGTCTAGTCTATAGTCTAGTCTATAGTCTAGTCTATAGTCTAGTCTATAGTCTAGTCTATAGTCTAGTCTATAGTCTAGTCTATAGTCTAGTCTATATTCTAGTCTATAGTCTAGTCTATAGTCTAGTCTATAGTCTAGTCTATAGTCTAGTCTATAGTCTAGTCTATAGTCTAGTCTATAGTCTAGTCTATAGTCTAGTCTATAGTCTAGTCTATAGTCTAGTCTATAGTCTAGTCTATAGTCTAGTCTATAGTCTAGTCTATAGTCTAGTCTATAGTCTAGTCTATAGTCTCTAGTCTAGTCTATAGTCTAGTCTATAGTCTAGTCTATAGTCTAGTCTATAGTCTAGTCTATAGTCTAGTCTATAGTCTAGTCTATAGTCTAGTCTATAGTCTAGTCTATAGTCTAGTCTATAGTCTAGTCTGTAGTCTAGTCTATAGTCTAGTCTATAGTCTAGTCTATAGTCTAGTCTATAGTCTAGTCTATAGTCTAGTCTATAGTCTAGTCTATAGTCTAGTCTATAGTCTAGTCTATAGTCTAGTCTATAGTCTAGTCTATAGTCTAGTCTATAGTCTAGTCTATAGTCTAGTCTATAGTCTAGTCTATAGTCTAGTCTATAGTCTAGTCTATAGTCTAGTCTATAGTCTATAGTCTAGTCTATAGTCTAGTCTATAGTCTAGTCTATAGTCTAGTGTATAGTCTAGTCTATAGTCTAGTCTAGTCTATAGTCTAGTCTATAGTCTAGTCTATAGTCTAGTCTATAGTCTAGTCTATAGTCTAGTCTATAGTCTAGTCTATAGTCTAGTCTATAGTCTAGTCTATAGTCTAGTCTATAGTCTAGTCTATAGTCTAGTCTTTAGTCTAGTCTATATTTGAATTTATCGCTCGCATTATCATGTACATTTTCCATTCCACTCGCTATGAAGGTTCAACAAAAAAATTTCTCCTGTTATGACAATTTCTTTCAATTGATTTCTTCATTCATTTTGGCAAAATTTCAAATTGTTGCAGTTAAAGCAAACCTCCGATTCGTTGTGATATAGGGCGCCTTAATAATCTAAATTTGTGATTTATTTTTGCTGTTTATGAGTCTCTTTCTTTACGTTTTTTACGTATTATTGCGTTATGTTTAATGTCTCAATATATACATTTATAATGACGGATGCACGGTTCATTAAGTTTGTAATGAAAATTGTGTGTTTTTTTTTTGTTGTTGATGCATATGCAAATGCCTGTTGTTGATGATGATGCTAGTGTTAGGAAAATTAATTTATGGTGTAGAAATTAGGGTGGACAAAAAAATTTTAAAAGAATTTGGGAAAGTAATCACTATGGCAACCTTGTTTTTCTTATGAGTAAACAAATGATGATGATGTTAAAGTTGTTGTTATTATTATGTTTAAGCTTAATGACATGATGTAAACATTTATATTATGAACGTGAAATGTACAACATCCCACAGACTTACATTTAGCAAACTTTTAATGCGTTTAACTAATAACAAAAGTAGATTTTCATTAAAAAAAACTTAATCAAAATATATAAATAATACTCTTTGTTTAGCTTATAATACAAGCAATCAATCAAAATGCATAGAAATGCATAAAATAGAAAGAATTTCCATTTTTAAAATGCAATCAAACATTCATTCATTTATTCTCTCAACCCTACAACAACAACTAAACTATAGACAATAATCATTCAACACTTTTGTTGAAAAGTGTTTGTTATTGCCTCTGCGTCAGTTTGTTGAGGTTTTTTGTTTCTTTAGTTTAGATTGATTGTTAATTAAAAAAAATGCAACAAAAAACATAAACTATAGAAAAACTAGGCCACTAAAGGCAAAATAAGCTTGTGAAGAGTGATGGAGAGAGAGAGGGAAAAAAAGGAAATTTCTATTTGAAATGAAAAATTGTTTTGCGGGGGCTGTTGGGAAGTTGTGTTAATTGAGTTTTGAAAACACACAAAACCATCATCATAAAATATAATATTTTTAATAAAACACACAAACAAAAAGTCATTAAAAGGGGAAAAACTTAATTAAAATGGAAAAACTTTAAAATCTACTACTTTTTTCACATTTTAAACCATTAAACAAGGAAAAATTTAAAAACTAGGCATTTTTTAGTACATAAAAGCTAAAATTGAACTTAAAATCCAAAAAGTACTTTTTTGCAAAAAAGTACTTTTTCTACTACTTTTTGAAAAACAAGCTATAGAAATTTTTTTGCCATGTCTAATTTTTTTTAGTACATAAAAGCTTAAATTGAGCTTAAAATCCAAAAAGTACTGTTTTGAAAAAAAAGTACTTTTTCTACTACTTTTTAAGAAATAAGCTACAGAAACGAGTGTTAACACATCTATGCATTTTTTAGTTTAAAAAACTCAAAAATAGGCTTAAAATCGAAAAAGTACTTTTTTATAAAAAAGTACTTATTCTAGTACTTTTTATAAAAATGTAC